GCAATAGACAAAATACTCTGTTGGAATTCAAGATGAACATATTCAAAAGAATATTTATCATTTCTGTTTGGATCACAACATTATTTAAAATAAATCACAATTTCTATAAATTTTCCACAAAATTACCCAATGTTTGCAGTCATGTGCTATATTATTCATATTTTTAAGTCAAACCAATAGAGGGAGCTCAAGCACATTCATTCATTTATTTTCTTTATGGCTTTGTCCCTTCACAGGGGTCTCCAAATCGGAATGAACCACGATTTTTTCCAGCATATTTTTCACGCACGAATGCCCTTCTAGCTGCAACCCATCAATGGAAAACATCTATACACACCCATTCACACACATACACTACAGACAATTTAGCGTACCCAATTCACCTTTACCACATGTCTTTGGACTTGTGGGAGAAACCCACGCAAACACGGGGAAAACATGCAAACTCCAAACACAAACGCCAATTGACCCAGCCGTGCTGCCTCAGCCTAAGCACATAAAACAGACATTTTTAGGTTTTACATGCAGATGCAGAAGTCCAAAATCCAAAAAGGCCCTGATGAAACACTAATGAAATATAAAACCAAATAAAGTCATGATTATAAAATATACATCATTTTGCCAGGCTCTACTTGTCTAAATTAGTCAAGCGGTCTCAGCTTTTTTCATGAGCATTTTTTTATTTATTCATTTATTATGGTTCAGTGGTTAGAACGTTGCCTCACAGTAAAAAAATAAAATAAATAAATAAATCGCTGGTTTGAGTCCTGGCGGCATAGTTCTCTGTGTTTGCATGGGTTTGCCCTGTGCCCTGGTTTCCCCCATAGTCCAAAGACATGCGGTATCAATGCTATCTCACTGCAATTCGTAACTTTTTTATTTTGTAACTAATTCATATGAATTCCTTCAGTCAAATTCATACAATTTATTACGAAGTGCTTAGTAGCAATGATGGATGTGTTTGGGGACGGGGTTTAGTGCTATGCCTCCTTTTTAAAATCATACATTTTCATACGACTGAACTCTAAACTGACAAAATGTAAAATAGTTACGCTTCCTCGTGAGATCAGGCTGGTAGTACAGGTCAACTGAATAAACTAAACTGACTTAAGTGTATGAATGTGTGAATAGGACAGTGTATAGCTGTTTTCCAGCACTGGGGATTTACTAGTTAAGGCTGATTTATACTTTTGCGCCAAACGCCGGCATATGCTAAGGCGCTGAGGTATAGCCCTTCGCCGTGGCCGTCGGCGTCGCTAAAGTGCACCTCTCAAAAAATTTAACTACACGTCGCAACAATGGGTAGCACAAGCTCTGTGATTGGTCGGCTTGGTAGCGCTGACGAGTCTGGGTGGGACCGTAAGCCGCGTGAATGGTGCGAGCCTGATGGAGCGATTGTTTACAAGTGTGGAGTCCCGTGAAGGAGCTCCGGATGGAAAGTTTTGTATTGTGTTTACCTCATAGTAAATGTTGTTGCTCGTCCGCCGGTTCCTGCCTCAAAATGAGCGAGTTTGAGCCACTTGTACATCCCGGAAGTGTTGAGGAAAAGCAACACAGCAGCGAAGAAACTCGACACAAAGGAACATTAACACCACACAGCCAACTAGCGTTTCGGAAGTGTTAATGCAGACCAACAGAGACAGCACGCAGAAGTATAAATGTACAGCTACGCTCGTTGCATGCACCGTGGGTCACGCCGGTCACTTGACGCAGAAGTATAAACCAGGCTTTAGTGTTTTCTCAGTGCTGGGTTGCAACTCCAAAAGCATCCACCACACAAATTTGCCAGAGGAATTGGAGGTTCCCCTTCAGGAGAGGAACTTCAATGCTATGTAAAAACTTCTGCAATGGGGATTTGTCAGAATCCAATCATTTGAAAGAGTATATAAATGGGCCAATGAAATGAAAAATGCTACTTGCAATTAATTTGGAATACAAGCACAGCACGTGTCAAGCTAAGGTATCCTTTTCGCTTCAGATTCTTTCACGAAGCTTCTGAGAGAGTCAATGAGGGTTTTCTCTGACTGTTACGACAGAGAAAGAACAAGAAAGCTGCCTGCTACTCCTGGTCTACAGTGTGTGATACGCGGTGGCAGACGGTCAAGCTGGGTTTCTTCCTTGCCTGGCATTTTTGGGTCCGGCCCTCCAGAGCGGTATGTATTGTTGCGAATTTCCTAAAAGAGCAACATGGTCGTGCAGCGCGTCTTTTTAGCATTTCATTCCCGGCACTGGTCCAGCTGCACGAGGATGGTTCCAACCCACGCTTGTTACATAAGCCCTGTTTAATGGATGCCATCTAGTAAGTGCTGTGCAGGTAAACCTCACTCCTTTGACCTCTACAAGTGCTTTAGCGACATAAACTAGAGGCTGCGGTCTTTAGCCTTCTTGTTAGAGCAACCGACTCCCATGTGGAAGGTTGCCAGTTCGATCCCAGCTCGAAGTGGGATGGGTGATGTAGGATCGGCGGGGTTACATTGGAGCTGTGACCCGGATGGGAGTGAGGTGTAGGGGGGTGAGTGTAATGGAGGCCAGCTAGTAAGTGCTGTGCAGGTAAACCTCACTCCTCTGACCTCTAAGGGTGCTCTAGCGACAGACGCTAGAGGCCTTGGTCTTTAGCCTCCTTGTTAGAGCAACCAACTCCCATGCGGAAGGTTGCTAGTTTGATCCCATCTCAAAGCAGGTTGGGTGGTGTAGGACCAGCAGGGTTATACCCTTACCGCAAACGACTGTGCCCTATGGATCACAAGTCTGTGGCGTGTGCCCTGGAAAGAACAGTGGCCACATTAAAGGTCCAGGAGAGCTACCTCTGGCTAAACCTGGAGAAAAATATAAAAATATTCGCAAAGTTGCAAAGTTGCCTTTTTAATTGCCCATATCCCAGGCTGGGCTATTCAGCGACATCGTCAGTGAGTTCTCCCAGAAATTCACAGCGGTACAGTCGGATGCGATTGGCTGAGTCATCTATTGGCAGGCATATAAGACTGCCTGCCATGCCTCTTCTGGCGAAGGATACAATCTAGCCAGTTCCTTCGACCAAGATGGAGGGTGGGTTTTACAGCATGTACTTCATCATACCCAAAAAAGAGCGGTGGGCTACAGCCAATCATAGTTCTGCGCGTTTTGAACCGCTGTCTTCTTGTCTACAGTAATAGAACTGAGGAACGCGTACTTCATGTCTTCATACTTCCACGCCACCGTCAGTTTCTGCGGTCTGCGTTTGAAGGTTGAGCCTAGCTGTACAAGTCCTCCCCTTCGGGCTCTCTCTGTCTCTGCGGGTTTTTACTAAGCTCGGGGAGGGTGTTTGGCACCCGCACCCAGATCTATGCCTCTTGTATGGTCCATAGATGAAGCGTGGAGGACTTAGATGACCTTAGGTGACATTTCTCCATAGTGGAAGTTTCCACATAGCATTGTAGTACCCCAAAGTGGGGAACAGAAATGCTTTGTTCCTTCGCCACAATGATTGCCCCTTAGCTATTGGGCGTGTAGGGCTCTTCAGCTAGAAATGGATGCCTCATCTTGGCACACACAGCTCTTATATTCCAAATTGATTGTAAGTAGCCCCAGCTGTGCATGCTGACACTGCCAACTCATTGGCATTTCATTGGCGCTTTTATATGCTCTTTCAGATTTGATTTTGACGAAATCCCCATAGTGGAAGTTTCCACATAGCATTTTCGTTTCCCCTATGCCCCGATTTTAGTCGCATTATTGAAGTGCAGTCACGTAAACGCAGCAATCAAACTAATACCGTTGTGTAGAATTTTCGCCACACTTTGGGACAGGATATTCTATACACCAACTGCAGTTTGACACTATACATTTTTTTTTCCCATTTGGCATGCAAAATCAAATTTTATTAAATCTACACTCTTCCAGCAGTTCATACTCGCATAGAATATCGTGTTTGTCATGGGGGTCATGCATATAATGTTCCTGAATAAAGAAGTGAAAGTACCTAACTGCAGTTAAAGTCCACACATTAAAAATGTAACACTCGAAATTACCAACACAATCTCACGGCAATTCGTAACTTTTTCATTTAGTGGCTAATCCTATGAATTCGTACTATCTAATTTGTCCAATTTAGTACGATTTGCTCATCCACCAATGACGGTTGGGGTTAGGGGTGGGGTTAGGTGCCATGCCTCTTTTTTAAAATTGTACCATTTTGTATTACTGAACTTGTATGAATTTGTACAAATTAGCCTTTAAAGTGACAAAACGTAAAAAACTTACGTTTTCTCGCGAGATCAGGCTGAAATTACATGAAACTCAGGAGGAAATGTGGATAGGGTGGTGATACAATGACGTTAATCGAGCTATGTCCTATAACATATAAAACAGGATCATGAAAGGAACATTTAAGAAGTAACTCATGAAAACACCCTAATTTTATCATTGTCTTGTTTAGACTAAGGCAAACAATTTGATTTCGATGTGCATGTTGACGTAGTCACTATCAGTTAATCTTTTGTTCTGATGTCCAAGTAGATTTATCTGTTTTAAAGACAGTTTTCATGTAGAGGTGTTTTTGTAGCCTGCTGCATAGAGGAAGCCCAGACAAAGCCTGATTAAGCCACAAAAGTGGAGGTGAAAATGTGACTAGCCCTGGAAAATAATAGCATATTAAATTGTCTAATGTTTTTTAAATGATGCCAATATCTTAACTTTGTATATTAATCAGATATTTCCATAATTGCAACATAGGAGCAATATGATGCCTCAGCCTCACCCCTCCCTCGCTTTCTTCCTCTCTGTCTCTTTCCTCACTTTCTCTCTAGTGCCCTTTTTTCTACTTATTTTAAACATGTATATAAGCTGGTGTGTGTACATCTAGAGCAGTTTCCTAAGCAAACTGAACAGGTATGTTTCAGCAATGTATTTAATTTAATATGTTTTACTATGTTAATGTTTTAAAATGTATGTACATTATATGTTTTATAATGTAAATTGTTAACCAGATGTTTTTTTTTCTCTCTCTTTTTCCTTATCAGATTAAATAATTGGAAAAACTTTAGGGAAAAGAAGATTGCATTTAAGCTTAGTATACTTTCAACATCGATCAAGATCTTTTTAAGGAAGACTAATAACAATAACTCAAACAGCAAAATGTATAAAAGGATTGTCACTTATTGGAACTACTGAAATTTCCAGTAGCGCACTAACACAATGAACTCCACAGTGCTTTTATATAGTCAACAAGAAAGATATGCAGATGCGTTTGCTAAAAATTTTTCCACTGTTTTGCTTGCTGTTATAATCATCTCCATTAACGGAATGTTTGTATTCATATTCTTTAGGAGATCAATTTTCCACAGTGATCCACGATATATACTGTATATTCACTTGGTTATGAATGATATGCTCATGGTTTTTATTTCTGTAGTTCTTTTTGTGATAACTTTTGCATGGCACAATGTGCCTGTCCCGTTCTGTGTGTTGCTCCTGTTAATAACCTCGGTAAGTCATAGGAACACTCCTCTGACTTTGGCTGGTATGGCTGTTGAGCGTTACATTGCCGTCTGCAAACCACTGCATCACCATCAGATTTGCACAGTGCGCTGGACGTACGTGCTCATCTCTCTCATATGGAGTGTTGGAATTTTACCAGGATTGGCTGACTTTTTTCTCCTTTTAATTAATGGACCTTTTGCTCTTTTTATAACTATCTGTACTCCTGTGACTCTTTATAACACACCAAGCCATGCTGAACTAAGCAAAATTATGAATGGTATTTATTCATCAGTTGTGTGGCTAATACTCGTATATACATATTGTCAAGTGATGGTTAAAGCCAAAAGGTCTTCCACTAATAAATCCTCAGCAAAAAAGACCCAAAACACCATCCTGCTACACGGAGCACAGCTTCTGCTCTGTATGCTGTCCTACATTACTCCTGTGTTAGACAGACTTTATGCACCACTCCAAACTGAACAGCAGAAGAAAATAAACTTTTTCAACTATTTACTAACTAATATTTTACCAAGACTTCTTACCCCCCTGATTTATGGTGTTCGGGATAAACAGTTTTATAATCACATTAAGGCACTCCTTACATGTAAATTATCTGCTGTAAATGTTGATTCAACCAAATAATTAGCAGAGGACTTTTTATATTATTCTAGTTTATATTCTTCTTTATTTTCTGCAGAAAATAAAAATGAGAAATGTGTTCTGATTGATGAATAAACAAAATAGTAGTAGTTTGAAGATTTTGTGGCTGCTAATGGCTAATTTCACATAATTACATATAAAGATTTTTATTATCTTTTCATTATTTAACTAGCACCGTATGTGGTTTTTCTTATATAGTCACATAGCATTTTAATTAACTGCCTTCGATGCAAGGCCTCTTTTCATAGCATGTGTTAAAATATGTCTATTATGAGATTTATCACGTATCTAGGAGCGGTAAAGCAAGACAATGAAAAGAATGTGTATGTTTTTTCTGTACTAATTGTCAATATTATTCAAATGTGAATTCCTATTTTTGCCCTTTCTAGTATCACTTTGAATTGAAAGCATTATAAGTCTTTTGTACACCAGCAAAGGTGCATTTCACATAATTACATATGAACATTACTAAATAGAAAATATTTAAATTATTTTTAATGTCTTTCCATCACATAACTAGCACCATATGTGTGGGGTTTTTTTTACAGATATAGTTGCATAGTATTTCAATTAGTTGCTTTCGATGTAAAGCCTCTAAAAATTAGATTCGCATTTGTTCAAATGTATTTGTTGGGATTTATCATGTATTTATTAAAGGAGCAGTAAAGCAAGGCAATGAAAAGAATGTGTATGGACTTTAGAATGTGTGTGGACTTAGACTTTACAGACCTGAAACTTGCCTATAGCACTTTTTCATTGTTGCTCTTATAGTTGTGTAAATTGCTTCATTGTCCTCATTTGTAAGTCGCTTTGGATAAAAGCGTCTGCTAAATGACTAAATGTAAATGTATGGTAACTGTGATTTTGATCATTAACTGTGTTTTCTGCACTAATTGTCAATATTAGTCAAATGTGAATTCCTATTTTTGCACTTTCTACTATCACTTTGAATTTAAAGCATTATACATGGTCTTTTTACACCAGCAAAGGTGCATTTCACATAATTACATATGAAGATTACTAAATAGCAAATATTTAAAATATTTTTTATATCTCCCAATCACTTAACTAGCACCATATGTATGTTTTTGTCTGATATAGTTGCATTGCATTTCAATGTATTGCTTTTGATGCAAGGCCAATAATCATTAGATTCACATTTGTTCAAATGTCTGTAATGGGATTTATTATATACAGTATGTATAAAAGGAGCAGTAAAGCAAGGCAGTGAAAAGACCCCGTGGATGGCAACTGTGATTCTGATCATTATTAAATGTGTTTTTGGTATAAATTAGTGTAATGTAAATTCCTAGTTTATTGTTCTTTCAACACTGTAAAAAATTGGTGCTTGGTTGCCTTAAAATTTTAGGTTGAATCAAATAAACCTTATGAGTGATTATGATGACTGACAGCTCGCATAACTTACAAAATTAAGAGAGAACATGTCTAACTTAGTTTAGTAAGTTTCAATGACCTAAAATCATATGCTTTCAGGACTAATTGATCATATAATTTTGGTAATATTTTATTTTGATGGTCAATTTGAGTATTATTAGATTGTCTACTTAAAACTGCTGCTCAACAGACTATAACTAACACTAACCCCAACCTAGCGGTCTACTTATCTAATGAAAATTGGTTGACATGTAGATGCAATGTAACTTAAATTCAACAAACACACCATCAAAATAAAGTGAGACCATAATGTTTTACAGTGTAGTATCATTTTAAAGCATTACAGGAAGTCTTTTTTGGTTGTTCTTGCATATTTTACTATATGAACAATCAAATATGTCATAAACTACTGACTATGAAAGTGGTCTAAAGTAGAAATTCAGTAATGGAGGATTTTCTTTTTCATTACTAAATTAATAATGACTTTATTTTGTTGAATATATCATTTTCTGTAATGTTTAGATGGAGTCATGTGAGATTTGAGCGTTTAAATGAACTCCAGATGCACCTGAACATTGTTACTCTGATGAAGGCAGGTTTTGCCAAAACATGTGCTCATTCACTTACTTTTCAAGTGCCTTAAACTTATGATTCTGTTGGTTTATCTTTATGAATCCCTTATCCAAAGACCACTGACACATTAACTATTATAAAAAAAAAAAATTTTTTTCAGATTTTAGATTTATAAGCTGGTTATCTAATTCATTCATTTTCTTTTTAGTTTAGTCCCTTTATTATTCTGGGGTCACCACAGCGGAATGAACCGCCAACTTATCCAGCATATGTTTTACGCAGCGCATGCCCTTCCAGCTGCAACCCATCACTGGAAAAGTTATCTAATTTGGGTGTGTTAAATAAATGAGACATGAAAAATATGCAAAGCGGTGGAGTGGGGGACTGGGATATACCACATATTCATGGGTGTGCAACTAGATTTTTTTCCCTGTCATCCCTAACAACCATCACTCAAGTCACCGTCTTTTGTATTCATTTCTGAATAGTTTTATCCATTTTAAAGACATTTTAAATGTACACTTACTGGCCAACTGATTAGGTACACCTGTCCAACTGCTCGTTAACTCAAATTTCTAATCAGCCAATCACATGGCAGCAACTCAATGCATTTGGACAGGGCTATTCAATTTGCGGGCCGAACCCAGCCCCCGGGACAATTTGTTCCGGCCCTCCAAATAGTGTGATCAAGACGTCAAAAATAAATTTAGTTCAGTCGCTAAAACAGCCGCTATAGTTATGAAGTGACGTGCATCTTTCCAATACAGCATGAGCTGTAGGCTGAAGGCAGAGCATGAGTCACCTGACATTAAGCGAGTTGTGTGGGCAGCCGAACACATTTGGATATGTCTGTAGCCTTTTGTACAATGCACTGATATTGTTAACAGGGATGCAATGATTGTCTGATTTCACTACTTACCGCGCTTTAATTCATTACGGTTAATTAATCGTCAAGGCTGTTCTGTTGCATGGAACAAAACTTCTGCAACTAAACAAAGTTATGCCAACTGTGTGCTAGTTTAAAGTTCCAAGCTTATACCGAGGCTAGTTCGCATGCACATTGGATTAACTATAGCAGCAGGCCGTCCACATATTGCTTCTTTTCTGCGCACAAGTTCATTATTTCCTATGGAGACATGCGCATATTGGGGAGTGGTGCACTCTGGGCTCGCATCCTCCAGTGCAATGTAAACAAAAGATACGTTAGACAAATTATTACAAATTATTAAAATGATTATGCATGTATGAACCCAAATGATAACAACAGTTTATTTAAATTCTTAGCTAATATATAGCTTAAATTAACATTATATAAATACGATTTTTTTTAATTTATTCTTATTTTTATTTATTTATGCATTGTTTTATCATTTATTTTCATTGTAAAATTATCACTGATGTTAAAATCAAAAACTTTTTTCATTTATTTTTAAGTCTAAAGAGAGAAATGGACTATTGTTTATTTTTTATTGATATTTTGTTGCATCCCTAATTGTTACGTTGTTTAAAACATAACATATGAATGTGTCTGAATGTAATAGAAGCCTACTTGAGCAATACCACATTGTAAAATGCTGTGATGTTATGTAGTTTCAAAATACAACATATTAACGTTTTCATGTAGAAAAAGCCAACGTGGGTGTCTTTAAGGAGCAAAAATACAGCATATGGGCTCTTATATAGCTGTTGTGTCATCACTCATATTGCAAGTCATATCTTTCCAGCCTGGAACTGGCCCGGCATGTAGACATGTTCCAGACAACTTGCTGCAGTTCAAACCGAGTATCAGAATGGGGAAGAAAGGGGATTTAAGTGACATTAGATGTGGCATAGTTGTTGGTGCCAGACGGGCTGGTTTGAATATTTCAGAAACTGCTGATCTACTGGGATTTTCACACACAACTATTACGATTTAAAGTGAATTGTCCAAAAAAGAGAAAATATCCAGTGAGCGGCAGTTCTGTAGGCACAAATTTTTTGTCAGAGGTCAGAGGACATTTGGATGTTAGTGTCAGAATTTGGCATCAACAACATAAAAGCATGGATCCATCCAGTGGCGTAGTGGACAGGCCCGCAGGGCTATAATGTCAATATGGGGGCCCCGCATGATTAGGGGGCCCCGCGTCGTCGCGATTTTCAATATTTGAAAATCCAGCAACCACAATAATCAAACTCTTGGGAACAACTGTGGTCGGAACCAAAGTTCACAGGTCTGTGTTCTCTAAACACCTATCAAGCGGTGGACTACTTCATTCTGATTACTTGCCGCCGAACCGCGTCATATCATAGCTCAAATTTGACTGGATTTGATCTCTCCTTGACGCTCACACTGGAGAAGACGCACCGCTTCTATTTTCGTGGCACTTTTGGGCCCATTAGTACCAATTGAGCATTGTGTCAACATCACAGCCTACCCGAGTATTGTTGCACATCATGTCTGTCCCTTGATGACCACAGATCACCCATCTTTTAAAGGCTACTTCCAGCAGGATAATGTGCCATGTCATACAGCGTGAATCATCTCAGACTGGTTTCTTGGACATGAAATTCAGTTCACTTTACTCAGATGGCATCCACAGTCACCAGACCCCAATCCAACATGGATGTACAGCCGACAAATCTGCAGCAACTGCATGATGCTATCATGTCAATATGGACCAAAGAGTCTAAGGAATATTTCCAGTACTTTGACTCTATGCCAGGATTAAGGCAGTTCTGAAGGCAAAATGAAGTCCAAACTAAACTAGTAGGGTGTACCTAATAAAGTGGCCGGTAAGTGTATATCTGGGTGTTTATGTTGCCTGGTGCCCTAAAGAAGTCCAGATGATGTTATGAAAAGTAACAGTGGAAACATGACTGGCCCTAGAATGCTCGTTCGCTTTAGGCCTGACAGCCATGGAAACATGGCTAATGCCTAGTTCAGACCCGATTTTGGCTCGCCGACAGGTTTTGAGAAATCGCCGACAAATGCCTGAAATCACAGGCAAATCGCTGCTCGTGCACGTGAGTGACAATCACACAGTATGAACTATCAGTGACGCGATCTGAGAGAATCACCGATGAGTCGCCGATGCCTGCGAGATATTTGGCATGCTAAATATCTGGAGCTGTCGGCGATTCAAATCATGCTGTGTGAATTGAGTTTTGACTGAAAATAACATCAGAGATCACCTACAACCAATGAGAGAGCAGCATTCACTGGTGTGTGCGTGTGTGTATACCTGCTGCAGGCCAGCGGGAGGCTGGGGGAGAAGTTAAAAGCACTCTTTTTCGGTTTATTTGGACCCACGAAATGGAGGAAAAACTAGTGGAGGTTTGACAGGACTTAGGAGCAACCGTGTCTGTTTGATGTTTCATACAGAAAGAAATTAGTTTATTATCAACGTTGAGGAGAAATGGCTAATTCCCTTTAAACACCAGGTGAGCAAACATGTACATGTTCTACCCCATTAAAGGCTTCTTTCCCATTATGTAGTTAATAACAAAAGATATACTACGTGTTTTTGGCTGTGAGACGGAGTTTGGACAAAGTTGTCGGGGATTTTTCCTATAGTAAAGTCATGCAATGTGAATGTCCCTGTCGCCGATCCATCTTGCAGTGTAAACAAAGCAGCGACGAAATGCTAGCCCAGATAGTCATGTAGTGTGAAAACATCTATGACAAGACTACTTTGAAAATCATGCAGTCTGAACTCGGCATAATGTGTTCAATTTAGTTCAATTGATCTTTGTTTTTATAGCATTTTTATAATGTAGATGGTGTCAAAGCAGCTTAACGTAGATGAAGTTCTACCAAATAGAAACTGCTTCAGTCCAGTTTTCATAGTTGAAGTTCAGTTTTGTTCAGTGTACTTGTCATTGCTGAAAGACAAAACACTGAAGAGTAAATCCAAGATGCTCTATTCCAGGTTAGGTCAGTATCTACATTTTATCTTTAACAAGTGTCTTTGAAATTACACCATGAGATCAATATGGTCTCCACCCCCCCCCCCCCCCCTCTCTCTTTTCTACCCTCCCTTTCTCTCTAATGACCTTTTTCTGTCCACTTTTAACAAGTATATAAGCTTGCCCACCAACATTTGGAGCAATTTGCTAAGCAAACTACACCGGTAAGTTCACTCTTTTAGCAATGTATTTAATTTTCTGTTTTTCTTAATGTATAATTAACCAACTATTTTCCCTCTTCATTTTCAAAATCCGACTAAATCAATGGAAACATAAAGGACTTATGAAAGAGAGACACCAAATCTAAGGATTGTGTTTAATATTAATTACTTACACAATAAACAGTTACACCAACATACACACACACACAATGAACTCTACAGTGCTTTTATATAGTCTACAAGAAAGATATTCAGATGTCTTTGCACAAAACTTTACCGTTGTTTGTCTTGCTGTCATAATCATCTCCATTAACGGAATGTTTGTATTCATATTCTTTAGGAGATCAATTTTCCACAGTGATCCACGATATATACTGTATATTCACTTGGTTATTAATGATATGCTCATGGTTTTCACTTCTGTAATTCTTTTTGTGATGGCTTTTATATGGAACAATGTACCTGTCCCGTTCTGTGTTACACTGCTAATAATAGCCTCAACAGCTTATAAGAACACTCCTCTGACTTTGGCTGGTATGGCTGTTGAGCGTTACATTGCCGTCTGCAAACCACTGCATCACCATCAGATTTGCACAGTGCGCAGGACGTACATCCTCATCTCTCTCATATGGAGTGTTGGAGTTTTACCTGGATTGGCCGAATTGATTCTTCTTTTAATTATTCGCCCTTTGGCTGTTTTTACAAGAACTCAGTGTGCTTCAGTTACTGTTTATAGCACCCCATACCATGTTGAACTGACCACATTTATGAATGGTATTTACTCATCTATTGTGTGGCTAATACTCGTATATACATATTGTCAAGTGCTGGTTAAGGCTAAAAGGGCTTCCACTAATAAATCCTCAGCAAAAAAGGCCCAAAACACCATCCTGTTACACGGAGCACAGCTTCTGCTCTGTATGCTGTCCTACATTACTCCTGTGTTAGACAGACTTTATTCACCACTGGTACCTGAGCAGCAGAGGAGAATACGCATTTTAAACTATCTACTAACAAATATTTTACCCAGACTTCTTACGCCCCTGATTTATGGTGTTCGAGATAAACAATTTTATAATCACATTAAGGCACTCTTTTTATGTAAATTATCTGTTGTAAATGTCAATTCAATAAAACAATAAGCAGATTTAATTTTGATATCTCGTTAGTTATGCTTTTCTTTATTTGCTGTGAAATAAGGTGTTGATTTTTAACTGGATGCTATTGTGATGTCACAATAAATTTATGAAGAAAATTTGAAGGCATCATCTTGCTCATGTAGAACAGTCACTGTAAATTGTGTACACGGGTAATATTGAATTAATGAATGCATGTTATGCATAGCACAAGAAAAACACATTATTATGTGCAACTAAAGTCACTATTTTTATATTGATTACTGATGTCCAAATAGTTTATCCATACTTAAGACAGGTGCTGTCATAATTACACTGTAAGGATCCACCTATCGGCGTGGTTGTAGATGAAATGCATTTCTCTTTTCTCATTCTTCTGTAAAATTAATTTAATGTGCTTAACTATTTATCACAGTTTGATTCTAATTTGTTTCTAGCTCAGAGATTAATCTGACTCCAATTTTAATTTATGATTATGATCAATTTAGGGTCATATTTTTATGATGAAGTGATCACATTTGATCATTTTAGATGCACATTAAGGCTTCATTTACTCTGCAGATCTTCATGGTTAATTCCAATTCTGTGACTGTGTCCAATTTGTTTGATGACTTCTATTCACAAATTGACAAAGTGATTCATAACCGATGTCTGCATTTACATTACATAAGGCAACGATGCATTAATTCAGAAAAAATAGCATGCACTGACAGACAGAAGTGATAATATATGATAATGATAGAGTTGACATTTAGCTACCCTCTTTTAGTTCAGGCTGTTTGAATGAATATGATATGAATGTCATGCCCATGTAGTGGAATTGAGGCACAATTTGACCAAAATAGTTTGTTTACATCAGGCATGTCCAAACTCGATTCTGGAGGTCCGGTGTCTTACAAAGTTTAGTTCCAACCCCAATCAGACACACCTGGGCTAGCTAATCAAGCTCTTACTAGGCTTTCTATTCACCTTATTCTCAGCTGTCGAGTGGGCGCTGCCATTTGAATCTTTTTTTGACGTTAACAACTGCTTGTTACGCTGCTTGATGTTGCAATTTAATATTTTCTTATTATATTATGCTAATTGGTCTGTGTAGTCATGCAAACATTTGTTTGTTGAGCAAGTAGTTTGGCCATTTTCTGCCGTTTATTATTCCTAGTCATTTCTCCCATAGGCGACTGAATCGGAAGTTCTAAGACAATCGCGAAAACAGGTGCACTTCCGCATTTTAGAATAAGGTCAATAAACATCTTTGCAGGTGTTTGAATGAATATCATATGAATGTCATGCCCATGTTGTGGAATTGAGGCACAATTTGACCAAAATAGTTTGTTTACATCAGGCGTGTCCAAACTCGGTTCTGGAGGTCCGGTGTCCTACAAAGTTTAGTTCCAACCCCAATCAGACACACCTGGGCTAGCTAATCAAGCTCTTACTAGGCTTTCTATAAACATCTTTGCAGGTCTGTTTAGGAAAGTTGGAGCTAAAATCTGCAGGACACCAGCCCTCCAGGACCGACTTTGGACACCCCTGGTTTACATGATGAGCCTTAATGTAATAGTTTTTCTTTGTTTACACAGAGGTGTTGAGCTCTCATGTTCACTCTCTCCCTCTCTTTCATTAACATGCTTAAAAGCATTAACATGGATGAATAGAATACAAAATAAATGTCCTTGTATATGAGATAAGGTTTAGGACTCTGGCCATTGGACTTTGTAAGTGTGTCAGTCAGGTTAGTTGGTTAAGTGTGTTCCACACGTTGTGTAGAATTGGTGTTGGTCGTCGACTCGACTGAAGAGAGTGACCTTATTGGTTATTCAGCAATGAATCAGAGGGCAAGTGTAGCGTAGTTACGTGATGTAGCAAATAAACAATTCAAGCCAAGAAGGGTGGGTCACATAGAAGCCAGATGTAATTTCCAACCAAGGCTCATTCTGAAAACCTAGTCTTGCGGACATTTTTTGGAGACCGCGAATTATGTAGCTGGAGGTACGGCTGCATTTCATTTTTTAAGCAAACGATTTGGGGCAGTGTGATGCCGTTCTCTTTCGTGCTTGCCAGCTGAGCTCTTGCCTCCGTGTGGAGGGCTTTACCGATTCAACCATTTTGTCTGGTTAGCTCGTCGTGTTCGTCGGCGGACTTGAGACGCAGAGAGGAGCTGACCATGATGAAGACCGGGTTCGAGTCCAGGAAAGAGTGGTTCCAGAAATTCAGGTAAGACAAAAACAGAATTCAAAAAATAAAATGAACAAGTTCATAACAGGCTGAGAATGTGGTGAAATCCGAAAATGTGGTAAAAATCAGATGAGGGCTTGTCTTTTACTGGACGGCTTTTTTTTTGTAAATTGTTGGTTGGGAATAGGGAACTAGCGGGCGGGTCAATCTGTTAAACTGCTTTTGTTTAGGGAAGGAGGGTGGGTCGCCCAGTCAATCATTCAGCCAGTTGAACGGACGGTCGTTTGACAGTGGCTTTTTGTGGGTTTACGCGAGAGACGTTCGAGATTCAAAAAAAGCGTGCACAGCGGCCTCTCCGGATTCACGAAAAACTGCACAAATACGTGCCTCCCGGGACGTATTTAAAATCACCGATTAACCCACTCACCCACTTCCCTGAGAGGGTGCTCGCTGCAGAGCCATTTGAGGAGAGCTGAGCTCCAGCGAGGGGGAGCCTGAGCTGTCGCTCCTCCTCCTGTAAGCTGTTTTAATGCGTACACCAACCCCACCCCTAACCCTACCCCCGGTGACATCACTCGTAGAAGAAGTGCAAAAAAGGTGGAGCTCAAGCTTAAGCTCCTCAAAGCTCAGCTCTCCTCAAATGGCTCTGCAGCGAGCACCACTTGACTTCCCTAAGTCCAATCGAGAGTTTTAAAAAGCAATCCAGAAAAAGAAAATCCCTCGCCTGATTTTTACCACATTTTTAAATTTTACCACATTCTCAACGTTATTTACTTGTTTATATTATTTTTTGTCTTCTGTTTTTGTCTTACCTGCATTCTGGAACTTTCCTTCACCAGACTCGAACTCCGTCATTTTGGTCAACTCCTCTATGCGTTCTAAGCCTGCCACCGTACATTGCAAGCTAACTGGGCAAACTGGTAACAATGCAAAAGCCGTCTATACAGAGGTAAGCACTCAGCTGGTAAGCTCCGAAAAGGACGACATCATGCCACCCCATAGCGTTCTTTAAAAAAAAATAAATGCAGCCATACGTACTTCTGACTACATTTTTCGCGATTTTCAGAAATGTATATAGAGCTACATTTTCAGAATGAACCTATGTTGATCATATCACAAGGCCTCTTATTTTAAATTAATATCAGGAAAGGCTGCAATAATTATTTAATGTAATTTGTACTTGTATAGCGGATTTATTTTGTATGGCCACACCCAAAGCGCTTCACAATCATGAGGGGGGTTCCCTCCAGACCACCACCAGTGCGGCAGCCACAGGACAATGGCACCAGTGTGCTATCACACACCAGCTATAGGTAGAGTGGAGAAACAGTGATAGAGACGATTAAGTGGATGGGGAAGTGCCACAGGATTTTTAATGAACACAGAGAGTCAGGACCTCAGTTTAACGTCTCATCCGAAACACGGCGACCACTGACCTTATGGCGCCCCCCTCACTTTTACTGGGGCATTAGGACTCACACAGACCACAGGTTGAGTGCCCTCTGCTGGCCTCACTAACACCACTTCCAACAGCAACTTAGCTTTCTCATGTGGTCTCCCATCCAGGTACTGACCAGGCTCAGCCCTGCTTAGCTTCAGTGAGTAACCGGTCTTGGACTACAGAGTAATAAGGCTGTGGCAGACTTTTTCAATGACACTGACTTTTGCGAGAAAACTAATCATATTCATTCATTCATTCGTTCATTTTCTTTTCTGCTTAGTCCCTTTATTAATCTGTGGTCACCACAACAGAATGAACCACCATCTTATCCAGCATATATTTTATGCAACGGATGCCCTTCCAGCTGCAACCCATCACTGGGAAACACCCATACACTCTCATTTAAACACATACACTATGGACAATTTAGCTTATCCAATTCACCTAGAGCGCATGTCTTTGGACTTGTGGAGGAAAGCGAAGTCACCAGATGAAACCCACGCGAACACGGGGAGAACATGTAAACTCCACACAGAAATGACATCTGACCCAGCTGAGGCTCAAACCAGTGACCTTTTTGCTGTGGTGACCTTTTTGTTGACATTTCTAGATTGTGTACCTCTGCACCCATCTTTACTATAAAAATTAAACACACACACATATTTAAAGTCTACTAATGAAATACTTTTTACCTCCCTCCTTACCTCCTTCACTCCCTCCCCTTTCTTTTGTGCATTTTCTCCCTCCTCTACACCTTCTACAAATAACTATATAAACTGGTTAGTTCACTTCTCCAGTCAAAACTATTTACCAAGCTGAAAGGTAAGATCCCTTTTCAAATTCATCAAAGCCTTTCGTTAACCTAATAAAGGTTTTCTCCTTTTTTGTGCCTGACATCAGCTGAAGTCAATGGAAAAATCTGCATAAGATTGAGAGAGAGAGAGAAAAAAACAAGAACGGTCTTTTTTTATCTTCAAAATGACCGCAACGAACTCTACAAGGTTTCTATATAGTCTACAAGAGCAATATTCAGATTCGTTTGCAAAAAATTTTACAGTTGTCCTTCTTGCTGTCATAATTGTCTCGGTAAATGGAATGTTTGTACTCACATTTTTCAGGAGTTCAATTTTCTATACAGATCCAAGGTACATATTATATATTCACTTGGTTATGAATGACATGCTAATGGTTTGTATTACTGTAATACTTTTTGTGATGGCTTATGCGTGGCAAAATGTACCCATCCCGTTCTGTGTTACACTGCTAATAATATCATCAGCAACCCATAAGAACACTCCTCTGACTTTGGCTGGTATGGCCATTGAGCGTTACATTGCCGTCTGCAAACCACTGCATCACCATCAGATTTGCACAGTGCGCAGGACGTACATCCTCATCTCTCTGATATGGAGTGTTGGAGTTTTACCTGCATTGGCTGACTTGATTCTCCTTTCAATTGTTCGTCCTTTGACTATTTCATCAACAGTTACTTCTTGCAGTGCCTCAATTTTGTATATCACACCATATCATGAAGTCCAAAACAAATGTATGAATGGTCTTTATTCCTCTGTTGTGTGTCTAATACTCGTATACACATATTGCCAAGTGCTGATCACAGCCAAAAAGGCCTCTACTAATAAATCCTCAGCAAAAAAAGCCCAAAGCACCATCCTGCTACACGGAGCCCAGCTTCTGCTCTGTATGCTGTCCTATATCAGTGCTGTCGTAGACAAGATATTTGTCCCACTTTCACCTATAGATCGAGCAAGACTAACCTTTTTAAATTATCTTCTTACCAATATATTACCACGATTGCTTACTCCCCTGATTTATGGGGTTCGGGATAAACATTTTAACAAACACATGAAGGGACTTTTATCATGCAGATTGCACGCTGTAAAGGTTGGATCAGTCAAACGATGAGCAGAAAAACAGAATATAAGTTTCCCACTGATGTGAAAGTTAAGCTTAATTATGAAACGTGTCTTCCTGTGCTGTTATTTAACAGTGTTTAGTTTTAATCAATACCTGTTACACACTTTTCACTGTGAAAAAAAAATCCTTGTGTGGGTCACACTTTACAATAAGGTTTTATTAGTTAATGTATTTACTAACCTGAACTAATTATGAACACTACTTGTACAGAATTTATTAATCATAGTTCACCATTTACTAATGCTTTAATAAGATCTGAATTCCTGCTTGTTAACATTAGTTAATGCACTGTGAGTGAACAAGAACTAATAATGAACAACTTTATTTCATTAACTAATGTTAACAGACATAAATACTGTAATAAATTGTTCATAAACATAAATTGTTTGTGGTAAATACGTAACTAACATTAACACAACTTTACTGTAAAGTGTTGCCCTTGTATGTTTCCCATGTTTTTTAAATCGACAATGACTCTTGTGTAAAGATTGCACACTTAAATTTAATGTATTGTAAATAATGTTTACAATAAACCATACTGTAAATGCTGTATTACGATTTGGCAAATCATTATTAACTATACACTGCTTCTCTTTTTTATTTCTTTTGTAGTTGCATATATATTTCCCAGTTGTGTTATTATATTTTATTTTTGTAGTAGTTTACTTTATTATTGTTTCTCTGGTTAAGAGCCATGTTTTCAACAAAAACTCATTTTAAAAAACGTAGTGCTATTTACCGCAAATTATGCAGCCAGAGATACGTATGGCTGTATTAAATTTTTTTACGAACGCTACGGGGCAGTATGACACCATCCCTTTTCGCGCTTCCCAGCTGACTGCTTACTAGGCCCACACGGAGTCTCCGCGCGCAAAATTCCGCAGATTTCCTGCAGATTTTCCGCAGATTTTTAGCCCATCATTAATTCAGTTTATTTATTTAAGTAAATGTGTAAATCATAAATTTATTCAGTTTTTTTATTAATTACAGTAATATTATTGACTAATATGAAAATGTTCATCTGATTTATGTACTACACAGTTTGTTAAGTACAAAACTGTTTTCTGTCTTTTAGTAGGGGTATATGAGAGAATTGCTTTGTTTACAAAATAAAGTAAATCTAATTGGATTTGCATTTTAAACATTAAATAAGAGTTTAAAATGTATTACTTTTTATTTCATACATTAAGGTTTCAGTTATGATACTCCCAAAATAATTCCGCAGAAATCCGCAGATTTTTACCAAAATTCTCGATATCGATTGGTTGGGTTTAGGGATAAAATTGGTTGGGTTTAGGGAAGGATGATGGTGGGTCAGTCAGTCAACAGCAGCTTCTGGAGTGTTTTTGCAATAACAGCAGGCACAAATGGCACTTGTGAGAGATAATTGAGATATGAAAAAGCATACTAAACGGACTCTTGTGGATTCGTGAAAACAATAATGGACAAAAAATTACAGAAATTTCCTTAAATTTAAATTTCTTGTAAATTTCTGTAATTCAACCTATGTTATTCTACAGTAAATTTCTGTAATTTAACGGCCGTTATTTTACATTTTTTTTTTCCAGCACCCCAGCTTCTGGAAAATTGTTCTTTACAAATATTTTTACAGTGTAGGGCTTCGTTTTCAGAATGAGCATATGTTGACTTTGCAACATTGCAATGATCTGACAGATTTTGGAAACAACAGTGATAACTACACAATTATTAGCCCCCCTTTGATTTTTAATTTCTTTTTTAAATATTTCCTAAATGATGTTTAACAGAGCAAGGAAACTTTCACAGTATGTCTGATAATATTTTTTCTTTGGAAAAAATCTTACTTGTTTTATTTCAGCTACTGAAAGCAGTTTTTAATTTTTTAAACACCATTTTAAGGACACAAATATTAGCCCCTTTAAGCTATATTTTTTCCTAATAGTCTACAGAACAAACCATCATTATACAATGACTTGCCTAATTAGCCTAACCTGCATAGTTAACCTAATTAACCTAGTTAAGCTTTAAAATGTCACTTTAAACTGTATAGAAGTTTCTTGAAAAATATCCAGTAAAATATTATTTACTGTCATCATGGAAAAGATAAAAGAAATCTGTTATTAGAGATGAGTTATTAAACTATTATGTTTATAAATGTGTTGAAGAAATCTTCTCCCCGTTAAACAGAATTTGGGCAAAAAAATGAACTGGGGTGTTAATAATTCAGGGGGCTAATAATTCTGACTTCAACTGTGTATATATCTATCTATATCTATATTTATATTTATATATACACACACACACACACACACACACGCACACACACGCACACACACACACATGGAGAAAGCTTCTTTTATAAAATGCATTGTGTTACTTGCATGTGAAGTCATACTACATGAAAATAACATCACGTGTCATGTAAAAGTGTCCCAAGGGCAATTATTGTCATTTTTTTTCCTTCCACAAATCATAAATATCACATGAGCCCCATACTAATTACTTGTGAGCTTCAGACTGCCCACAAAACAAAACCAGATATTTAGCTGCAAGGTAAGCCTATCAATAAGACTTCATATAAAGGAATAAACTAAGTTTAAAATACATTTACTAACCACCATTGTGTTTCAGATTCTGGCTCGAAAAGAACCACAATATGAACTCAACAATCTGGATTGTGGATAGCTATGAAGAAGCTCTCGCCAAAAACATTGTGATTGTTTCTCTTGGATTTATCATTAATGTCATTAACGGAATGTTAGTGGTGACTTTCTTCTCCAATCCAATGTTTTCAAGAGACTCCAGATACATCTTATACATTCACCTGGTCATCAATGACATGCTCATGATATGTGTGTCAGTAATTTTATATGTGTTGACCTATACTGCACCCCTTGTAAATGCTTCATTGTGTTGCATATTGTTGGTTCTTGGAACAACCACATTCATGATCACTCCTTTAAATCTGGCCGGTATGGCCATCGAACGGTTCATTGCTATCTGTAAACCACTGCATCACTCGCAGATTTGCACACCACAAAGAACCTACATCTTTATATGCTTGCTATGGATTGTAGGAGTCATTCCTTCTCTGGCGGATATCGTTATTTTATTTTCAATCCAACCTATGTCGTTCTTCAGGTCTTCAGTACCTTGCTATCCAGTCAGTTTATTTCCTTCCAAAGCACACAAGGATCGCACCACTGCTTCACAGGTCATCTATATGTCAGTGGTGTGGATAATTCTCTTTTACACATACTGCAGAGTCTTGTTCACTGCCAAAAGAGCCATTTCAAAGGGTTCAGTAAATAAGGCTCGGAGTACGATATTGCTGCATGGTGTCCAGTTACTGCTTTGTATGCTCTCTTACATTGCTCCTGTGTTGGATATGATCCTCACTCCTTTTTTTCCTGTTCACAGAACAAAAATCACTTTCTTTAATTATCTAATAACAAATATAATGCCAAGATTACTCAGTCCTTTGATATATGGAGTCCGAGACCAAAGGTTTCTAAAACAATTAAAGGAATACTTTACTTGTAAAGTTGCTATTGTAAAGATCCTGCCATCAAAATTATGATTATACATTTTATAAAGGAACAATATGCTTACCTTATTTGCATTTCTTTTAAATTACGATATTTGTTTGAAATTTGAGAGCATCAGTGACTGTAAAGTGACTCAAAAAGTGTCTCGAAAAATGTATGAATATCATCGAATAAGACTAAAAAAGTATCACAATATGGTTTGAAACTGGCAAATTAACTGGTATCACTTTAGTTTAAGTAACATTTCGCAGTATTAACAAGCTATTAACTGATAAAATATGTCTCATGTAAACGGAAGAGATAAGTAAAAGAAGAAATAAGTTTAAGTATAATAGACGAATGATGTATGTGCGAAAATAATAAGCATGTGCTTTATCCCACTCCATTCACGACCATGTTGAAATGTATTTTTTGTAAATGATATTTTATTTATGATATTTCTGTTCAAAAATGAATAAATTAAAATCAAATCAAATCACTGCTAGCTTAATAAACTGTTAATTAATTAGCTGTTTATTAATACATAGAAATAGAAGTTGGGTTAATTAGCTGTTTATTAATACATAGAAATGTAGAAGTTGGGTTTAAGGTTTTGAGTAGGATAAAGGATGTAAAAAAAGATCACACTTTATAACTACTAATGAACAGTTGATGTCTTAATAATAAGCAGGTAATAAGCCAGTAGTTACTAGCATGAATTGTGACCTAAACTACTACTAAAGTGTTAATAATTAACTTTGCTCAAAACTGACTTCACTTAGTGAGACATTTTAGTCAATTTCTTTTTGTTCAATCTGCTGCCGTTTTGCTGATAATTAATTTATATATGATACTATTTCCTATCAATGTTGAGTTGGTATTGTTAATAAAAAAAAAAAAAAAACATGCACTGTGGCAAAAATATTGAAATTGCCATGTTAGTTGCTACAAATGTTTTCTTTGTTTGGGAATTTGAAACAATTGCACTGTATAGAATATGTCACATGCAGGAAACTATTTTTTGTACTAGTAAATTATTCCAAGCAGTGTTATCGTAATAATTGTATGCTTTTTATTATGGTACATTTATTCACTATAGATCTGATTTTCATGCTGTTGTAATTTCTGTTTAAATTCTCGAATTTGTAACTGTATGTTCATATGTAATGCCTGAATTTATTAGTGGCCTGGTGGTAAATATCTATGTGGTTTAAACATAAATAATTATTAAGTAGTATGTTGTTTCTTAAATAAAAGGCTGTGTCATTGTAAATAAGTTCAGTGTGTTTGCTAAAATAGTGCCTCTACAAGGAGTAAGACAAGCCTCAGTAGGTGAAATGGTTCATGATGACTTAAGAGTCCATTGTGCTACCATTTTCATTGGTAACACTGGTCATAATTTCATGATAACAGATTTACCATTTAACTTTAAAAACTTAACATGCTTGTAGCAATTACCATTTTGGTCTTTTTGTGGTGGGAACTCTCCACTGAATGTACTGTATATTCCTCAGAGCCTCATTTTCTTTCCTGTCAAAAATTTAATATAATATTAGCCTAAATAAGATCCTTTGTGTAACATGTCAACATTTCCATTGATTTTACAAATTAATCAGTTAACGGCATGGCAGGAGTGTGCAATTAACAAATACTGCTATACATGAATTGTGCTCTGAAACATTTTGCAATGCAGCAAAAAGGTCTTGAAACCACCACATATGAAACTGAAAAGTCATAAGACTACAAAATGATAGGTGAAGCTTTATATAAGTCTATAAGACTGCAATCACGATGTTTCGTTGCACTGATGTTAGTTTTGTTAGAAAACATTTCACTGCCATAGTCTAATTTTAAAAGACCTATTATGCCCCCTTTTTACAAGATGTAAAATAAGTCTCTGATGTCAATAGAGTGTGTATGTGAAGTTTCAGCTCAAAATAACTCACAGATACTGTTTTATAACTGCACCTTTTAGATCTTAATTGTGCCAATTTGGTGGCTGTCGCTTTAAATTCAAATGAGATTGTGATCTTTTCAGAGGAGGGCGGAGCTACAAATGCCTATGTGTCAGCATAGTGTCAGATTAAAAAACAATACTAAAGCTGCGGTCAAACTAGAGTTTGTGTGTGCGAAATTCTGTCATACGGTGCTGCGAAAAGGGGTGGGATTAAACAAGATGATTAGACCAGTGGTTCTCAAAGTGGGGGTCGGGACCCCCGAGGGGTCGCGGGACAATGAAGTGGGGGTCGCCTGGTGATTTCCAAAAATCTATTTATTTTTATTAAACCGTAAGAATGACCATATTTTATCCATAACCTACTGAAAAAAAACTTTCATTTATAGTTAAGCAAGTTAAGCAAAGAATAGACTTGGCTCTATTGGTGTGTGTGTGTGCACGACTGCATGCACGGTTTCTGTATTTATTACCATCCCAGAAGGTATTAGGGGTCACGTGTCACTGTCATTGTTATTTTGGGGGTCGCGGGCTGAAAAGTTTGGGAACCTCTGGAATAGACAATAAAAAAGCGAGTGATTGAGCCATGTTTTAAATTTCCGTCCAGAGAGGTCATGTTTGAATCCTCGATTGTTCTCACGCAGTCAAGTGATGCGATTTGCAGGTCAGAGTTCACCAAGCTTGAACTTTGCACCGCAGCGAACTGCAAAACTTAACGCATGACCCTGCGTTTCCAGTCTGACACATTCACGTGCGTATGAATGGTAGTCTATGGGGAGAAAAGTCAAGTGTGTCCGCAGCTTAACGTCCTATGGAAATGAGGGAGATATCATCACTAATAGGTAAGGCTTTCTCTTTCTGATGACACGTATAAAGGGAGAATGTCAGTCAAAGTGTTTCTGTCAATCAAAGTGTTATTATAAATAATGAATATTAAACATGTTTCCTATTAGAGATTGGTTATATTTACAAACTGTTGCCACACAACTGTGTTTAATCCCTTTATAAAAAGTGATTTTTGCATAATAGGTGCCCTCTAAAGTGCCCTAAGGGCAATGACTATACTTAATATTCATGAGCTCTGCCTTTTTAAGAATACATATATAACACAAGCTTTTAACATACACTTAACAAGCACTCTACAGACTACAACCCCTGTGAAAGCACAATCCTGAACCAGATTTACCTTCGAAGGTAAGTCTGTCTATGTCTTTGAAAGAAAAGCTATCATGATTCACTATACACTTTCTCCTCTTCCTGTTTCAGCTCATTGCTTGCAAAGACCTGTAAAATGAACACAACGGTCTGGATTGTGGATAGCTATGAAGAAGCTCTCGCCAAAAACATTGTGATTGTTTCTCTTGGATTTATCATTAACGTCATCAACGGAATGCTAGTGTTGACCTTCTTCTCCAATCCAATGTTTTCAAGAGACTCCAGATACATCTTATACATTCACCTGGTCATCAATGACATGCTCATGATATGTGTGTCAGTGATTTTATACGTGTTGACCTACGCTGCACCAGTTGTTAATGTTTCATTGTGTTACATATTGATGATACTTGGTAAAGTGTTCTTCATGATCACTCCTTTGAATCTGGCCGGTATGGCCATCGAACGGTTCATTGCTATCTGTAAACCACTGTATCACTCTCAGATCTGCACACCGCAAAGAACTTATTTCTTTATATGTTTTCTATGGTGTTTAGGAGCTATAAGTTCTATGGTAAATATAATAATTTCACTTGTAACCCAACCCTTATCTTTCTTCAGATCATTTATATTTTGCTACCCAACGTATATGTTCCCTTCAAAAGCCCACGATGACCACTACACTGCTTCACTGGTCATATATATGTCAGTGGTGTGGATAATCATCTGCTACACATACTGCAGAGTCATATTTACTGCCAGAAAGGCCGTTTCAAAGGGTTCAGCAAACAAAGCTCGGAATACCATATTGCTGCATGGTGTTCAGTTACTGCTTTGTATGCTTTCCTTTATCAACCCTTTTATGCATACGGTGATTGTACCTCTGTTTCCTCTACAGAGAACTAAGATTACTTTCTGTTTTTATGTGTTCAGCAATATTATGCCAAGATTACTGAGCCCTTTGATATATGGGGTCCGTGATGAGAAGTTTATGAAACAAATGAAGCGATTCTTTACGTTTAAAGTTATTATTGTAAAGATTGTGCCATCACACTTGCACACATAGCAATAATTTGATGTATTCAGTTTTCTGTTTATTAAAGATATTGTTTTATACATCAATGTCATCAGAAACTCTGTATAGTTGCTTATAAAGTGCACAACTTTGAATGAACCTGAATAACGTTCACCCACAAATTCAGTATCTATTGACTTGCTTTATATCAGAACTTCTTAAATGTGCTGCTGAAGGGGGGAAATCATCAACATTTTGAATGAGGAGGAATGAATTAAAAGTAAATGTTGATTTTTTTAGTTAACAGATGTGATTAATGTTAGTCATTGATGTGATTTATTTATAAGTCACAATACGAACATGTTTATTTTACTGCTTAATTTTCACTTGTCTTTCTGCTCTTTTTGAATGAGGATAACAGAAATTGACCCTTCGCTAAGCCACACCCAAAAACCTCCACCAATCGGGGCTTAGCAATCGTAGCTACGCGTTGGAGCTCTGTCACGCTTTCGAGCGAGGGAAACAGGCCATAGCGTTGTGTATATGGATTGTACAAATCTGATAGCCGGTATCCTAAAAGTTTGGACGGGGTGGTGGAATTTTTTCCCTTTTCAAAATCTAAAACCCAAGGTGAAAAATGCCAGTGTGGATCAAACTCTGTGAGGGGTGTTAAAGGAGCTGAGTTAAATTAGTTTTGTTTTGATATTCCTGACACATTCAGTGGTAGACCGACAGCAATAACTCACACACCTCTTACCCTAAACAGATCTAAACTGTGTTTCCTACAAAAATACAAAGCAGGTTATGTTTCCCAGCGGCCTTTTTCTTCTTCTTTTTTTTCACTCTATCATGAGCACTGCTTCGTTTAAGCCTTCGCCATAGTAGGCATACTAATAGGAATCATATCTCCATCTGTATCAAGCCACGAATATTTACATACATATCAACAGAACAAAGCGGAGATATGATCACAAACTGAGCACTTGCGATATACTTCACCCGCAGCTGTTTTTTAGTCATTTATAAGCCTCGATGTCCATGTACAATTCACAGATGTTTTCGTCTGTCTTTTTGAGATTTACGTATGTTATAGCAGGTTAGTGTCTGATTTTATATTTGGTGTCAGATTAATATTTGCTGGTAGGAAAAATGAATTTGTTCACTTCTGCTATTTATACTTTAATTTGCATTTCAATTTATTTATTTATTCAACTTAACTGCAAACTAGAATAGAAACTGAATAAAGAGCACACAAATATACATAAAGACAGCCCCATTCACACATACAGACCTTTCCGGAAAATTACCGGCAATTTTCTGGAAAGGTTGTATGTGTGAACAGGTCCTTTTTGAAAATACCGGTAAATTTGTTCTGCCTATTTTCCGGAAAGAAAAATTGTAACATTACCGGTAATTTGCCGGAATGTTGCACTGTGTGAATGCAGAAGGAAGATTGCCGGAAAGTGCGCGTGCACATCTAGAACGTGCTGGCGTGAGACGTCTGCTTTAGCCAATCAGAACAGTCATACGCATTTACGTCCGCGCGTTTTATGAAAATAAAAACCTTTAAATATTTTCCCAGACACATTTAGCTGCTAGAAGTTAGTCAGATAATGTTTATATGTTCTTCTCAATGCCAACTGTGTAAATAATCATCAATAAGATGCTTATGATAAGCTGTTGTTTGTTTACCTTCAAGCTTTGCGTGTGCCTGTGAAACAGCCCGTTAGCGCAATCACACACACATATCATGTACATCTCGACATGCAAAAGTGTTTCTCTATATGTTTTTATCGAAGTTGTTCACATAATTTGTAGTCAAATGTTTACAAATACAAGTGCAGCCGTTCAAAGCTCATTTGAGGTGAATGATGACAGAATTTACCGGTATTTTGGAATGGATGTGTGAATGCTCTTTTCTGTAAAAATTCTGTAATGTCCTCACCTGTGTGAACAGCACTTCTTGAATATACCGGTAAAGTCGTTCTGGATATTTTCCAGATATTTACCGGTATAACTGTGTGAAAGTGGGCTAGTGATAGGTGTACATTGTTGTGGGACAATGATGCTAATATTCGACATAAATCCATCAATTTCCCCTGTCTGGCTGCTCTTTCTATGAATGAATGATAATGAAGCCAATATACAATCACCGGTTAGTATATTTCTTTGCACAACCATTAATCTATCAGTCTTTTTTGCTAAAAAAAAGGGAAATCGCGGTTTAATTTGTTAATATTAGATTATTTTTATAGTTCACCTCTCCTGCTGTGCATGAACTAAGCTGTTGAATGGTCTGCGTATGAGACGACTAGACTAAGCTAGCTTCAATTTGGATTCAGTTATTTTCTAATTGTTGCCTATTATGTGGTGAATAAACACCTGCAATGTATACTGCAGTCCTTTTTTGTCTTGCTTTCTCGAATATCTCACCTGTTTGCCAAAAATGACTAATATCCCTGGCAATGTCTGACACTGGCGCATACACATTGTAATAGAAAACGTTCCAGGCACGAAAGCTTGACAGGAGTAGCAACAGTATCTAAGGAGGGCGGGACTTAGCGAAGAGTCAATTGAATGCAGGCCTTCATGGACAATATGACATTGATATGATTTTGCTGCTTGTTCAAACTACTTATTTAAAAGAAGCTGAAACAACACAATTCTAGAGATTTTTAAGGACAACCAAATAGTTTTAAGTTTAATTCACTTGAATTTAAGTTAACTTAAACGATTTGTGTTGGAACAACATGAATGAATTGTGTGGAACTCTGCACTTTTTACACTGTATTATCCACAACCCATATAACATATTTGTGATGTACTATACCCAAAATGTTATCATTAATGTTTAAATTAAAGAGATTTTAATCAGTGACAGCGTCTGTGTTTTGTGTTACCTGTCATATCTGGTTCTTTCATTAATTTCTCTTCTGCAATTTCAAAGTAATGTTTCATAGCAAATGTTTTACACAACGGATGCCCTTCCAGCTGCAACCCAGTACTGGGAAACACCCATACACACTCACATTCTCACACATACACTACGGCCAATTTAGTTTTTCCAATTCACTCATGGTTGACCCTGTCGGCGTGGTCAACTCCTCCATGCGTCTCAAGTCCACTGACGTACATGACAAACCTCTGGACAAACTGGAAACAGCAGGAAAGCCATCCACATGGAGGTTCTGCAAGTAGTCAGCTGGTAAGCGGTAAAAGAATCGGCGTCACACCGGCATAGCGTTAAGATGAAATACATCCATACGTACCTCTGGCTGCATATTTCATGATCTCCAGAAATGTATATAGGGCTACGTTTTCAGAATGAGCCTATGTTGCATATTGCACAATGAAAGCTTTGACTTTCCTCTGAGAAAAAATCTACCATGTGCTGTTTTTCCATTAGATTTCCTATTTCTGCAATGCATACAAAAAGGCAAGTACATTATTACTATTCTGACCACTCAGAATACTGGCAAAGGAGCTTCGTATTAATGTGCTTAAACAATTTGCATGGTGTCAGAGTTTTTGTAAGTGTAATTCGCAATGATGTAATGACTGCCAATATTAGATGACTTAAGTTACAGACTTAATATTCATGATCTCTGCCCTTTCCACAAACTATAAATAACAAAGACGCTCAATACTGAATATAACTCATTTGAGCTCTGCTTACAATACAGAACTGTTTCACCTGCTAAAGGTAAGCTTATATAGATGATGGGTAATAATATAGTAATTCTTTATTTGTGACCCTGAACCACAAGACCAGTCTAATGTCGCACAGCTGTTTTAAAAAACAGCCAAAAATACCAATATGAATCAAAACTTTCGATTTTTATTTTATGTCAAAAATCATTACATTAAGTAAGAATTATTTCCATGAAGTGATTTATTAATATTTGCTTTATAAATATATCAAAACATATTTTTTGATTATTGATATGCACTGCTAAAAACTTATTTTGTCTGTTTTTTTCTGAATTTAGATTTATTTTTAACCCCCATAAGCCAAATAGTTTTTTTTAAATTGTGGTATATTAGCCAAATATTCTCTTATGTTGAAAATATTTTTATTGGATGTCAAAATGGATTAGAATATTACAATGTGCATTGATAAAGCCTTATTTTGGCTCTTTTCTCAGAGTTTTGATTTATTTTTAACCCTTTTTTTAATTGTGGTATCTTAGCCAAATATTGTCTTATGCTGCACAGCTATTTTTTGAGAAATAGTCAAACATTCATGTACTATGTGAGTCAGAACTTTTTATTAATAACAAAAATCATTAAAATATTATAGTATGTAAAGATCCATAAAGTCATTTATTAATTTTTGTTCCATAAATATGATAAAACTTTATTTTTGATTGTTAATATGCACTGATAAATTTTTTTTTCAGAATTTTGATTCATTTTTAACCCAATAAATTGTGGTATCTTAGCAAAATATTGTCTTTTGTTGCAAAGCTTTTTTGTGGAATAGTCAAAAATGCATGTACTGTTGAGTCAAAACTTTATATTTTAAGTTCATGGCAAAAATCTTTAGTATGTTACAGTAAGTAAAGATCCATAAAGATGTATTTTTGTTTCATAAATATGGTAAAACCTATTTTTCTATTATTAATATGCACTACTAAAAGCTTCATTTAGTTGTTATCTCAGAATTTTAATTTATTTTTTGCCCTCATTGCACATTTTTAAATTGTGGCCAAATATTGTCTTGCGTTGGATGTTGATTTTTTTGAGGAATATTCAAAAATACATTTATGAATCTAACCTTTTGATATTTATTTGATGTCAAAATCAGTAGAATATTACAGTATGTAAAGATCAACTTCACTTCAACTAGTCATTTAGTAAATTTTGCTCCGTATACAGTTGAAGTCAGAAATATTAGCCCCCCTTTGAATTTTTTTTTCTTTTTTAAATATTTCTCTAAGTATTTTTAACAGAGCAAGGGAATTTTGACAGTATGTCTGATAATATTTTTTTCATCTGGAAAAAGTCTTATTTGTTGCATTTTGGCTAGAATAAAAGCAGTTATTATTTTTTTATACACCATTTTAAGGTCAAAATTATTAGCCCCTTTAAGCTAATTTTT